AGAAATCAGCTCAACAAAATCATCCAGAGAAATCAGCTCAACAAAATCATCCATTGTTGCACAGAGATCAAACGAATGATACTGTGTGGTATATCAATTTTGAAGAATGACAAACAAACTGTGTGTATGTGTGTATGTGTGTGCATCTGTATGTGTGTGTGTATGTGTGCGTGTCTGTGTGTGTGTAATATTATTCACTTAACCTTGGCCAAATATTGCGTTAAAAGTTCTCTCAAGTTAGGTAACACGAAACAGGTAAAGTCAACAAATGTTACAAATACTATCCTTATACTCCGCAAAAGTATTAAGTAGTAACTACAACGTTACAGCTCTGCAGAATATGTAAATTTTTCGATAACTTTGACAAATATTGTAGCGACCAATATGCTGATTTGCATAAGTCATGATCGATTTTACTCAATATTTTTCCCACTTTACACATTAAATGCTAAAAAATCGGTACAAAGGATAATTACTGTCGCTTGGATTGTCAGCTTCTCAATAAGTGTTCTAGTGGTTTGGTCTTACGAGAAACCTTTTATACTAAATTATTTGTTCCTTCAAAATAGTTTGAACTTTATTTTGCTCATTTACAAACAACGTTAAGTGATTGATTTTTGTAATTTATCCTTATTTATAACATTTTTTGAATTTTTCGCAAAACAATGAAATTACTTTTTTCAATTTTCCAATTCAAAAGAAATCCAATTAAATTGAAGTTTTTTTCCAGCGAAATTTATACTCATCCATACGCAAAATGGTTTATACAAAATGTATCTGGTGATTTTATCGGCGCTCCATCACATAATGTTATCTTAGCATATACATAGCTAGTCGTAACAGGTTCGCTCATACGGAGTTCCAAATTTTATAATCAAAAAACTTAAAATCATTTTTACGATGAATCTCCTCAAATTGCAGTAGAAATTAAATAGCAACTGAAGAATGCTTTTTCTTTAGAAGTTAACATAACGTGAATATTATTATGTACTCTCCGCTATTATATCCACGTTAGTTACTTGACAAAAATCAATCCAATTCATTACAGATTTTTTGGTCTATCGATTCAAATACACCTCAACTTGGACATTGGTATTGAACGCTTATTTGAAGCTGATGAAAGCACCTGGACTTAATCAATTAGATTTACTTGTAGTTAATCCACGAACATATGTAAAAAAGTATGAAGTATTGTTATAATAATAAAAGAAATGGGATATTGAAAGAAGAAGTTTTTCACTTGAAATCCCAAATAAGTTAAGTTGTAGAGGACAAATTTGAAAAAATGATAATTCGAAGTTTTATTCTTTTTTAAATTGACTCCAGAAGCGTTCGATTATTTTGCTTTTCCGCACTTAAAACAAATACTATTTAAATTATTAATGAAATATAGATGATGATTTATTCATATTCTTGGTATTATATGAAATATTATTGCAATAAAAGCTTCCTATTAGATCTGATTGATATTTATCATTTATGGAAAAAAAAAAAACTCTCTTAAAGAAGAGAAAATTTCGTCGCTGAAAATCAAATGTGAAAGAAAAATTTTGCTATTTGAGTGTCAGTCAAAATTTTCCAACATCAATATCTAACATGCAATGAGAATTTGAAATAGGATTCTCCCTAAATTTCACATAAATTTCTAATTGGTACATACGTAATTTGACTTTTTTGATTGTGCTTTATTTTATGCTTGCTATTTTATAAATACATTACTATTACGTTAATTTCATCTTTCAGCTCACTTTAACTCTTTCGACTCAACTTGACTTCAATTACTTCCCTTTAATCTAGTTTTCATTTTCAGGTTTCCTTATTGCCACTTGTGCTTAAAAAGCGCTAGTCTCAAAAAGTGAATCTTTGTGATTTAAAAATTTATAAAGATGGATATATAACAATATTGTTGTCCAATGTGGCTTCCACGTGGTCACTTTTTATTCATGTGTGGTCAATTAAGAATATTTTTCGAACTGGTCAGGTCAGGAATGGTTACAATATTTCTCACAAAAAATAGTTTATCATCTTTTAATTTGATGACCGCATAGAAGAATTTTATCATTCCATCCTTCCCAGCTTCTGGCCATTTGCACTTTTTCCAATATTCGATGACTATATGGAAATGACATCTTTAGATTGTCTTCAATTCTTTGTTTTACTAATATTATCGCTTTATCACTATTTTTGTCTTCAGTTCTTTGTTTTACTAACATTATCACTTTATCATTATTTTTTCTTTAAATTCCTAAACAAAAGGAACAATCAAGACTTCCTTAAAATCAAGTTCAAAATCTATTGGTACTTCAACAACTAAGCTACAAACTTCTGGTGAAACGTGCATTCGCGCCAAAGTAAAACAGAAAATTATTATGTATTCGGAAATTATTATGCACATTCGTTGTGTTTAATTTTGCAATTTTACCGTATCTTTACAGTTATTTTTCATTTGACCTAAGAAGAGAATTATTAATGTTGGCTGAATATTCCAATACTTATACATTTGGGAGAGTACCAATTATCGTTCTTGATTCTACCGTATACAAAGTAAGATGATTCCAGAAATTCAAATGTAACACTCGGAAACAAAATAGATAAGTATTACTTCAATAGTCTGACAATAGTGCTTGAGTAGAGTAGATCAGCATTTAATGATAATATAGATCTTCTTACTGAAAAAGCAACGATTGATGAAATCGGATAGTTGATGCGCTAAATTTTGCGTAATAGTAAGATGTGTTTGGGAGAGGGGGGAGGCAGAACTTTTGAAAAGAAGGTTTCTACTGCATTGACCTTTTTTTAGTATTAACGTACTTATTATCAACAATACCATTATCTGATCTCTTTCTTTTCCTTGTCGTGACTTTTGTCATGTGATGCACATATTCAGTTTCTACGCAAAATTTGAAAGAAATTTAAGGCGGAAATGTTTTTTTTAAAGTCAGGAATCTGCGTCTGTATCTCTTGAATTTATTAATCCATATAATTTTACCATTAAAAGAATTCGAAAATACCCGACATCAACTTATTTTGTTTGATATTGTTTTCAGAAGAAGATTGCTTTCAGTATTTATCTGATGATCAACTACTTTTAGTTTCAAAAGTAACAGGTGAAAGATTTATTGCAAATGGAAGAAATTATACTTCAACTGCAGAGAATCATTAAGGGCTTAAAATCTTTCATTAAATTTAAGGGTTTTTAAAGATCTCGAAACTGTTACTTTAATATGGCAATATAATTCAGTGATTTTCCTTCTCTGCTTGCTTTGTAAACATTTTCTTTACACAAAAAAAATTTTCATTTGGTTCCAAAGAGTATATAATGAAAATAATAAAGTAAATTTAATATCCTGTGATGTGCAATGCATTAATAATAGATTAACAATTTTGAACTTCGAATCCATCAAATACTTTTGACTCTTTTTTTTTTTTGTTATTGTTATTGAGTAAAGAGAAGACGAGAGGATAACAGTTGAATTTTGCATTGGTATCAAGAACTACGACATAATTCTTTCCACATTACCAAGAAGAGCACTGAAATTACAGAAGCGCCCTTTAAGAAACTTTTGTTTATCAAGTTTATGGAGAATATTACCCCTCAACACGGACACTATCATCTGTTGCATTGATATTTGAATCAGGTTATACATTTAACTTGGAAAAGAATTTCAGCAAGGCTGCTTAGTCATCATACCATCAAGTGAAAGGCCTCTCTTCAAAATGTTCCGTATCTCACTTCACTTGTATTTTTTACATTTCATTTTTGCCATGAAATTCCTTAACATAGCAAAATGACTCATTCCAACAACAATACAAAGCTTCCATGAATATTTGTATGCTTTGTGTGACACCATGCGTCACACGGAATAAAATGCGCAACATAACTCAGCTATCTTATGCAGCTATCAACACAATTGATAGTTTCCACAGTTTAAGAACGTAAAATTATGAGTTTTGATGAGCTGGTGATAAATTTGCATATTGGTTATAGAGGTGTGTAGAAGTGCCAAACTGCTGCAAACTAACATGCTGTTGTTCGTTAACAAATATGTCTGGATCACCAGGTAAATCATTTGGTACCATAATCACTGGATAACCTTCCGTGTAATCAGTTTGTTGCTGTTGCGTAATTGCATGCATGTTGTCATACGTAGTGGAGCTGTTCATTGTTGACGAAGATAGTCCATAACTATTTGGCCACTGATTTGCATATTCATAATGAGGCCAGAATGGGTTGGCCGTATATTGAGAAAGATAATTTTGTTGTTGTGTAACAAAATGTGTCCCATCAACGGCAACCATACTGTTATTAATAGGCATTGTATGGGCCTCGACAAACATCGGGTCTAACTGAAATTTTGTTTGAAGACTAGATTAATGTGGAAAATCCAGCGGGCAACTCTTTGAGTATTTAGGTTCGGTCAACAGTTTGAAAACTTGCAATTCTGGTTAAAAAAAGAATAAGGCTAGGAAAAATTCTTTGGTCTATTACTTTGTGCAGAAAATCCGGGGAATGATAAAATAATCAGCACACCTGTTCATTTGTAAACTCGCAATTTCGTACGCGAGCTTTGTAACCTCGTGGTCGCCTTCGATAAGAACCCTCTTCAAAAAGGAAATCGCAATTCTGATCGATGGTCCACTGATGTCCCTTGCCACTTCGGCCACCCGAACTTTTCGGTAATTTTATGAAACATTCATTGAGTGACAAGTTATGTCTAATAGAATTCTTCCAGCCGTTGTATTCTCCTGAAAATTTGATGAATAAGAACAGATATTGCGTCAGACAAACGTATAATATTACTGAATGAGTAAAAGATACCTGATTAAACCATCAATGAGCGATGATGAATTGGTAATTTTAAGAAGGCGAACAATATTGTAGATCTTTGATCCAATCTGATCTAGGTCTTTGAAAAGAAATTTCCCCGATATTGCTCAATAAAGCTAAATGAAGTTGTAAAGTTCCTGAGCAGAATGTTCTGCATCTTTCTAATAAGATGGTCAGAGGGTCGAGACGAACAATCAAACTATCCCAAATAGTTTTACCAGGAGTAAAAATTCGAAATAAACCTCTGAAAAAGTCGAAGTTACTCTGAAGGAAAGTATAAATTTCAGTAAGTGTTGCTTTCCGATCCGGTTTTGCGTGTATTGCCATAGCGATGAGAGCAATGTAGGAATATGGTGGTTTCTCCTGTCGTTTACCGCTCCGCCGTCGACAAGCTACACTTTTCTCATCTTCATCTTCGCTTTTAAATTGCAAAGGTCCAAGTGCGTTGGAAATCGGCTCACTACAAATGTATTAGCATAAACAGTCAGTAGTGGATATCCCCAATTTATTAGGGATCATTTTTTTTGTCGAAAGTGAGATTTTAAGATTCGTTAACATATGAAAAAAGTCTCCAGTTTAGTTTCGATGAAACTTAGACTTCAAATGCAGGAAATCTAAAATTTCATGGAGTTAATTAAAATTATATGCATGTCTTGAACAAAGAAACAGTAGTTGGAGATGTACAATGATTTCATCAAAAAAGTTTATGATTTCTTACCACCCAAAATCTCTACTTATTAGTTGAATTGGACGAAATACTTATTTAGCTATAGGTAAGTTTGCTGATAGTTTTTAGCAGACTCGAGAATACCAGTTCAAATTAGCTATTGGGATTTAAAATGCAAATTCAAAATCCCTGTCGTTTGAGGGAATGAAGTAACATTTCCACAAATAAATATGTTACTTTGAAATTTAGAATGTTTGGACGGTACTTTGACGCGAAAATAACGATTAGAATTTGAAATAATCAAGTTTTGATTTATATGCAATTCACAACTCTTGCCTGTTGTACTTTTGTTGTATTGCAATTAAAATATTTGATTAAGCTTTTAGAAAAGGAACGGAGAAGTTTCATTGTTTTAGTATCCGAAATTTCAAGAAAGTGAAGAAAAGATAATTGAAACAATAGTTATACGAAAATGCAAATGACATCACTTCAGGAAAGCTAAACAATTTATCACAAACTGAAAAATAAACACAATTTTGGTTGAAAATTTATACACAAACATGGCTCAAAGGACCACCCATATGTATGCAATCAGCATAGGAGACCTAAACAATATGCGTTTCTGTGTAAATAAATAAATACTTTTCAGTGGTTATTACCATATCTTACCTGGAAGACTGTTGCTGAGAATGGGATGTCGCGGGTGACAGTTTCAGTTCCGTTTTCAGTAAGAAACTTTGAGGTTGTTGAGCCATATGAAAGACAAGAGCTGAATTGATATGTGTAAAGAAGAGATGAATGATTGGAGTTGGCTGCTGATTGTTAGTTTATGTGAGTGTTAGCATGCTGTAACTGAAAACTAATCTCACTGGTATTATGGTAGCTTATGGAGAAGTGATTGCAAAGGAGAAAGAGATTGAGGGAGAAAGCGAGTGTGAATGATTTAGAGGTGGGAGAGGCACAAGAAAGGAATATTCCGTAGGGTCTGCCGAAATTTCTCCTCTAGTTTTTACTACCCACCGTATCGTTTCTCTGCTAAGTTCCCCACACAAACCATTCCTTGGATTACGGTTTACCATAATCTAACATTTCATTTCGAATTAATCCAAAAACTTTTTTACTCAATTCCATGGTCTTCTCCAGAATTAGACATCATTCGATATCTCAAAAAACGCCACAGCTGAGTGCTAAAAGCGCTGTATGGTGTTGCAGAGCATGCGGTAATCCGAAACCATTTGATAAGAGTGCTGCTATCTGTTGCCAAATAATGCTAAAAGATTAAATGTCATTGATGGTCATCAGCAGAGTTATACCTCTCTGGTGCTGTGTTAACTTGAGCTAAGCTTCCATTGTCCGAAAATATTATTATGACCATCTCGAGGCATATGCTAATGTAGAACATGGAAAAAATACTATATTTGGTTCTAGCTTAAGAACCATTTATAAATTTGATATTTTCCAAAATGGTATGTCCCTATTTTGCTTAAACTAAATTTACCTGTACTGTAAATTATATGGTGTAACTCTACGTCGACAAAGTTTTTGAAGTTGAAATTGAAAGAAGAAAACTTGACCAAATTATTGTAGATTGGGTAAAATCACAAATGTCGCAGATATAAATTAGCAACGAAACTGCATGCTTTGGCGGGTGACATTTCACACCTTTATCGAAGATACGGTTGAATGCTAGAGAGCAGATATAAAGAAGCAAATTCTACGTATTCATAACAAATCTCATTCTTGAGGATCAAGCCAATAGATAAATGGTGAGAACACAATGTCTTAAACTTTAATTTTGAATTCAGCACTTACTTTCATTTATTCTTTATTTCTCTTATTGAGTAATTTCTGCCTTACATAAAACTCTATTTTTACTGGCAAAGCTATGCTTTGGATTGATAATATCAACTTTTATCATACTGTCGACAGTGACAAAAGTTCAAAAAGATTTTGAATATTTGTATGCGAAGTGTCATGATAATGATGTTGATGAGAAATGATATAAGATTATCAACAATAATTTATGTCACTGGTGATGATCGATGTATGATTTCAATTAACATCTCATTCCCAGCCACACTATGATTGCACGACAAACCAAATGTAGCGGTAAAGTATCGTGCTCCACGATGCAACCAATAATTAACAAACCAATTCCACACAAAATTCAAATTCTAATCTTCGCGTTGACATCAAATCCGCACCTATTTCATTCACATTAATTGTCAGACAAATAAAATGCTAAACTGCCATCTTCCGGCTAAATTAACTTACTGATTTGAATTTGCATATTTCTGTTCATTCGCAGGTAGTAGTGATAAAGCAATCGAAGCAACTGATAATCATTGCAAACTGATTGTATGTTGACATGTGTCGCGTAATAGTGAATAACTACTCCAACTTGACAGTGTAAAGACTTGATTTAAAAAAAAAGTCAAATTTCATCTTTATAACGATAATCTAATCGAAATACATAATTAAATTTGATTAATTATAAGTGTTTAACAGATGATGTACCTTCCAATTACTTTTGGATAATAATTATGATCTATAATCCAGTATTTTCATTACGATAAGCTTTCAGCAATCTTCTTTGAAATATTTTTTGGTTATTTTCTCTCTCGCTCTTTCATAGCCGAAACTTATCACCTAATGATATTGTGGCGACAATAACAAAATGAAACGACCATGTGCTGAATATGCTCATGTACCGGTACCTCATGTATCGGAAAAATAGACGTACTGCTGTTTGCTAGTAGATCAATTTAAATCAACTGAAATCAGTGAAATAATAGTATAAGCATAAAGTGATCATATAAAAAAGTGACTTGAGCGGAATGTCGAAGCGATAAGCGAAAATTGTTATTGAATAGTTTTTGCTTTCTTTTTTTCGCATTCTATGTCACATTTTACTGATTTAACTTAACCTCTATTGCAAGGTATATCTTAACAAGCAACATATTGAGCTTTTCTGAGGTGTTCCCTTCATTTTCTAAATTTTGAAATATATTTTTTGAATTGTTTCTTTTGTTGCCATTTCAGTATAGATTTATAATATCATCTCTTTGTGACACTTATAACCTTCTTTAATTTCCATAAATACTAATCATATCCAAGAAACATTGAGTTATCTGAAAAGATTCTAAATTCTGTCATTATTTTTAATCAGTCACAAGATGATTAAAATAATTTAACCATTATTACTGGCAGTCAACATACTAATATATCTTATCAAACTTGACTTTCAAAAGAGTCTCATCAGTATGTCACAAAGTATGTTGAGTCATTTCCATTCCATATAAGGATATTGTTATATTGTCAAGCTTCTGAGATAATTGTCCATTGCAATGAGCAGTAATTTTGAAAGCATACTCAGAATTTAACATTTAATCTGTAGTATAAAATTCCCATTTCTCCACTCTTAGCTGTTGAAAACATTGTTTCCATAGGAACATTAATGAGCAATAAGGGTGTGTACATGTTTGTGTACTTGTGTATATGTATCATATAAAAGTTGGCTTACTCTTCCGTCCAATAATGGAGAAACCTAAGCCTCAATCCGGAAAGATGTGATGCTAAGATTTAGCAGATGGTTGAAGTAGCAGATTTCTATTTTCCGACTCCCCAGAAAGCCTGCGAATATTCTTCCAAGTTACCAAAATACTCTCATTCTAATTACATAAGCAGTCTTCTTTCCCTAGACAAAAAAACTTCCAATCCATTTTTTTTTTACTATATTTACGTCAATGATAGCATGAAAGTTCAAGTCTAAAAGGTAGATAATTTTGTTATAAACAAGTCTGAAATTATAAGCTTTCTAACAACTGACGTCTTTCTTGGCCTTTTTGCTTCTTTTTTCCCTGTATTTTTATTGTGGCAGTTTATTTTCCCTTGTAACTGTTTTAATAACGTTTCAGTGAGCATTGTTAGGAAGGTGTTTGAATCATTTTAGGTTGTAATTTTCATATAAATCATTTATACTGATATACATAAAACTTTGTTCAAAGTGGAAAAAGAATAATTGATTAATTAGGGTTAAGTATTTCAAATGAAAGAAAGAAGGAAATTGGGAGAGAGAGAGAGAGACAGACACAAATAATTTTGACATTAAATGACATACCAAAAACAAACAGCTTATTTATTCAAGCTTTAATTGTACTTCCAACAACAAACTGAATAGATTTGAATGGGTGAAAAATCTGAATAATATGATTTGAATATGCAAGTAAGAAGTAATTGACAGATTTCATCGATGGGTCCAGTGTGAACTAATAGAATCAGAAGTCATTAATTGATTAAAGAATAGGTGAAGGAGGAATCAAACAATGAAAATATGCAAAAAGAAAAATGTTCCGAAATACGCTTTTGTAGGAATAAATTACAAAGGTAAGTGATAAATTCAGAACATTTAAATTAGCTGGTTCAAAAGATAAGCGGATGAGATTAAAGAACAGAATGTATAGATTAATCAGCAAATCAAACATCCATTTGATGAAGATAACCAATCTTAGTATACCGCTAAAAAGATAGCGAATAATGATTGCGTACATTTTCACAGTATTTTTGTTTTAGATTACTTCCAGTTTCCATCTATAATTTTTACGGAATATGCAATCAGTTGCCTTCTTTTATATGATTATCACACTATCATTGCCACGATTTTCTTATCAGTTTTGTGGTGAGAAAATTATTATGTTGGGAAAGTTTTGCTGACTCATGCTTTCCTGTTGCTGAGCGCGGAAAGGATAGTCATTAGTTTTTCTGCAAAGTGCCTAGGATTCATACTTGCGAGGACTACATGCGGATACATTAGCCAATAACCTAGTATTAGTTCCAAATTTCTTTCAATTTCAAATTTCATATTTGTTGCGATAGGCGTACTTTTTTTTTGTGCATACCTGTCACTTGATCTGCACACTGGTCCTTTAATTCATTTATTTGTCATTCTTTCAACAAATTACTGCTCAGCAATTAGTCCAAATTATATCCTAAAATATAAATATTTAATTCACTGCTTCTTACCGACTTATTTCATTTGTTGTTTCTTTAGCGTTTTCTACTGTTTCCTACCTTTGATTTTCTTCCAATGATATTACAAACCATCCATTTCATTTATTTTTAGCAAAGTAAGTTATTTGTTCGTACCATTTCTAATTTATTTTTTCTGATTCAAAGACGCTCTCACTTCAATAATTTTTCTCCTGAATTTTTTCCCGAACTTAATTCTCAGTTCTCCTCCTCTATTAATCAAATTTGCTCCTAGCGTTCTAAACAAACTTTATAATTTTCCATTTTATGCAAATTTCAGAACATTCAGACAAATATGCGTGCAGTGCTCCATAAATCTATAATAATTATTTTAATTATTTCAAATTAGCAAGGAGAAAGAAAATGAGCAATCTAGACAACGGGGATACTACATTACTTTGGGTTAGTAGTCTTTTATGCTAAAAAAGTGCTTTACATACTTAAAACATAAGATAGTGGGAGAAATCTGCTATTTCCTGTTGTCCAGCCTGATATATACCAATGTGCAACTTGCATTTTTCATTTTTTTCTTTTCAATTATCCAAAAATCAGGTGAATGTTACTTTAATTTTATTTGGAAATTGCAAACTTTGACTACTTTATAAACAAGTAGTAATAGAGTTGACAATTTTCTTCCCATTGAATAAAAGGAAATTGCGGAGGAATAATGCTTTATCACTAAGCAGAGAGAATTTGAAAATTTAACGTTTAAAAAGTAAATGTATCACCTTGGTCACATAATGATAACAATTTAACATCCATCTTTAGTCTTCATCGCGTTCCACGCTTGATCATGATTCGACTCCAGATATTGCTAATCTTCATACGGCGCCTGCGCCACCTAATGTACCCAGTTTGGTGAATAGACAGATTCATAATTATCGTAGTTCAAATCGATCCTTCACTCGACCATACTCCGCCAAAACAGTATTCTTCTACAAGGAAGGCGACGTTTATTTTGCAGTAAGTTATTTGTATTTTTGGCATAAAAATGGCAAAATTTTTTCTGCAAAGACTGGCCAAAACTTTAAAAAAAAAATTCTAATTTTATTGTCTCAAAACAATTGAGTGTTTTTCAGTGAGTTATAAATGAGCTTTTGAATTTTCATTGGAAAATGAATATTTTAATTGTTTTGTTTATTGTCTTGAAGGGACTTCGCGTACCAGTATCAAAGGCTCGATACCGCACTATTGAATCATTGTTGGATGACTTAAATAGCAATATTTCGATGCCATTTGGCGTTCGTCATTTAACGACACCGCGTGGAAAAACAATTATCAAAAATATTGATCAGCTACAACATCATGGACGGTCAGTAACGTTGTTAGTGGTGACAGACAATCATATCATTTCCCGACTCAATAGCTAAACCGATTTTGACGCAAACCTGTCAGCTACAAGCTGACAGGTTTGCGTCAAAACCCAGGGAAGAGAAATTGCCAAGGTTGAATAGTTCGGAACATGAAAAGCAGTAATTTATTCGCCTCATTATTTATGCAAACTTATCAGTTCACATACAAATATATGAATGTTACTGTCAATGACATAACAAAGGATATAATACTTAAGATGATTGACGCGCTTAATTGGCTCGAATATGGGAAGTGAAAGAAGCTATCTACCAAGGATTAACATTGAGCACTAAAAAGGTGCCAGTAAAAATTCTGACCGTAAATAATCAGGAGAACAATGACTGAAGTTATGTTTTGAGTGCTTACGATATGACCTCATTAATGGTAGGCTCACTGATAGTTTATGGCATGCATGAAAATTCATTGCTGCCTAATAACTTCCTACTTGCTGGACGACAGACAAACATGACATTTCAAGGTCAATCTCACTTAACCATACTGTTTCACTTGTACAATCTGTACCTACCAGTCCACTCGAATCGCCATCAAATACATGAAATATTGTGTACATGTTACGAAAGTTAATTAAAAACCACGTGCATTCTGTTATGTCACTCAATCTCTTTTTATCGTATCAACAAAACTAATCAATCATTTTATCAGTGAATTTAAAGCATATGTTTTAGGTACATAGCATCCTCTGTCAAAACTCCACGACCGTTGAACATATCGATGGTCGAGAAAATACAACGAATTCGCCATGCTAATCGGACACACGCGCCTCAGTACTATCGCAATAATTGGTTTAGCTATCGTAAAGTTAGAATTTCGTAAATTGTT